AGTGGAGCCAAGAGAGAGAGAAATCGGTGTGCAAGCAAGCGGCAAATCCGCCCCTGATAGATACACGACATAAGCCGGACTCCTGCCTTCGGCGTGTCCGCGGTCGTATAGAAAGAGACCATACAGTTAAAAAAAGTATGTGGACATACGGTCTTTTCTTCTGGAAAGGACAGGCTTGTGCTTTTGTAGAAAGTGGTCGCCGTCGACTTCCAGGTTGGTCTAAGCCCCCCTTAACGATTTGCGTGCGTGTGTGATCGGACTTAATCGTTCCGTGCCGATAGGCTCATCGGGACGATTATTGATCAAATCAACTTGGCTGGAGCCTTCCTTTTTGGCAAGAAGTACGAAGTGGTTGCCAGGTGTAGTCAAGCCATTTCGCGGGCAAGAACGAACAACAAATATTAATTACGTGCAGACATTATCTCGCCATATTGTTATTGCCGGAGTCAACTGTCACACACGGACAGCTTTCCTGTTGTTTCTCACACTCCTGGGTCTTTTGTCACAGACACTTATATTCATTCATTAATTCTCTCTCTCTCTCTCTCTCTCTCTCTCTCTCTCTCTCTCTCTCTCTCTCTCTCTCTCTCTCTCTCTCTTTCTTTCTCTCTCTCTCCGCTCTTTCCCCCCCACACTGTTCGTCTATCTGTCTGTCTGTCTGTCTGTCTCTGTCTGTCTGTCTGTCTGTCTGTCTGTCTGTCTGTCTCTGTATCTGTCTGTCTGTCTGTCTGTCTGTCTGTCTGTCTGTCTGTCTCTGTATCTGTCTGTCTGTCTGTCTGTCTGTTTATCTGTCTGTCTACCGTTCTCTATGTCTCCGTTAGCAACCCTTACACAACAAAACGCACACAAGAACACACACACACACACACACACACACACACACACACACACACACACACACACACACACACACAAACATACACACACACACTCACACACAAACACAGACTCATGAAGCTTTTAACATGGGCCGTTTTTCTCTAAAATGTTTTGTTCCTGATAGGTTTTACTTCATTTTCTTTTTAAAAATTATTTCTTAGTCTTTTTGTATTATGATCTTTTCTTCGAGTTCAGACCCCGAAGGTACGGTATGAAGTTTATTAATTTTACTGTACGTCTAAGAACCAATTCTTTTTATGCTATTTCATTTTCATTTTATTTGACCTACACAAAAACTATAATTTCAAAGTACTCCTATCGTTACCACGACGCTGCTTTTGTTTTCCTTTTCTTCCCCTTCTTTCCCTCAAGCCTCCCTTTTCTTTCGGTTTTTGTACCCCAAAAAAGAATTAAAAAACCAAACAGCAACAACAAATATCTATAAGTAAAAATGCAAAAGAAAAACAAAATAAACGAACAAAAACTGTATAAGCCAGAAAGATAAAAAATTCAAAACCTGATTAGCTTGATTGACATGTTTCACGTAAAAAAGGCCCCAACAAAACAAAACAAGGCAAAATGAAACAATCGGAAATCACTGAATGCATAAAACATAAGACTCCACATACAGGTATTTAAACTTCACCTCCTCTATTTTGTTTTGTTTTTGTCCCTTTCGTCCTTTTTCTTTAACGGCCTTCAAAAAAAAACCCCTCTGATCTAAATAAATGAAAACTGACGTTAACGTTTGCCTTTCGTTTATACTTGAGCGTGTCTCTTTCGATGGGGATCTGCCCTCCTTATGTGAGTTTCGACGCATTCACTTCCTTGACATCCTCCTGTGGCGAAATAGAAAAATAAAAAGAACATTGGTCATGAATAATATTATTCTTGTCCCGCTCGCTCCTTGGGGCGTGACTTTGGAGCATACAAAATGGCAGCAAACGACTCGCTTTTACACAATGAGCAGAAAAAGTAATGGCTGTTTCTTTTGTTTTGCTCAGAACGAAAAAGCCCGTTACACTTCTCGTACTTTACGCCTGGTATACCTTCCACTCTCTAGGACCCAGCACAATTTCTTTGCTTCTCCGCTCTCTTGCTGTAACGAGGTAAGCGTTCGAACAGAGACTTCTCCTCTCTCCCACCCCGCGACCAGCAGTTCGAAGGTTATTGATCGGTTCCTGTGGCTGTTGCTACTCACTGATATATCGTTGTGGAACGAGACGGTGGGGTCAGGAACCCGAATTGTGCGTGCGTGTAAACGGCACACAGGGGTTAGGGGGGAGGGTGGGGATGTTGGGAGGGTGGTGAGAGGGGGAATGGGTGGGTGGGGGGTGTTGGGAGGATGGGGAGAGGGGAATACGAAAGGGGGGGGGGATTATCGGACCCTGTTAAGACTGTGCTGCGAATTCCCTCTTCCACCAACCTACTCTGAACTGCACTTACTGGAAACACGGTTTGTCCATTGTTTTGTAACCCCTGATAAGTCACGGCGGGTCGCGGGTGACAGGTGAATTGGGGCTCGGGCTAATGGTCTTCCTCGTTTTCGTCGTTACTATACAAGGACGAGAAGAAGAAGAAGAAGAAGAAGAAGAAGAAGAAGAAGAAGAAGAAGAAGAAG